CCGACTTAAGACTAGGCTCCCCGCCACCGGCGGGCAGGAAAGCGAAGCGCGGCCAGGCAGGTCACAGCGACGGGCTTGACGCTCAACGCTGGAGGAAAAGCCGGCCACTGCTGGCTCCTCGCCGAGCACGAGGATTGGCGGCGCGCACACGGGGATGGAGGGAGGGGGGAGGGCTTCTTAGGAGGAGGCTGCTTCTTAGCAGGCGCCGGCCTTACATCTATAGATGAGGCCTGCGCCCTCTAAGAAGCAGGGGTGCTTCTGAGAAGCCCTCCCCCCACCCCCCTCTGCGCGTAGCCGAGAGGAGGAGCAGGCGGACGTGGTGCTGCTGCAACGAGATCGCCCAGACAGCGAAGGGAGGTCAAAATCTCACGCTCCAGGCAGCAGGCATGGGGTATGCCGTGTACCCGATGGAAGGCTACAGCTTCAAGGGCCGCTGGGGGCACCGGCAGCGCAAGGCAGGAGATCGGCAGCCCTGGCCAAAAAGACACCGAGCTCCGCAGGCGAGGATCCCCAGGGGCAGGGGACTGCATCATCGGCCAGGGCTGCGCCCCTCCCCGCGGGGGGGCCCAGCATGGCTCGGCCCAGCTCGTCTAGGAGGAAAACAAACCCACCTCGCTTTTGACCACCCTCGCTCCCAAGAGCTACCAGACGATGCCAAATTGCAGCCTGTACTGGTCAGGCCGCTTGACGAGGAGGCGCGTGGCATGGCTCGTTTTTGCCTGGAAGCGAAAGCGGGGTACTCCAGATTTCGTAATAAAAGGGAGGGGGTCTGGACCCTCCAAGACAAGCCATTTCAGACCTCCCCCCCGTGGGAGAACCCTCCAAAACATCGTCCCCAGACCCCCCAGGCCCTCCAAGATAGCCTGGAAGAGACCCCCCCCGAAATGAGACCCCCTCCCTTTATTACGAAACCTGGAGTCGTAGGTAATTCACGCTCTGATTCGTCCGCCGCCGGCATCGCCCAGGCAGAGACTTTGACAGCCAGGAGGAGGCGCGGAGCAGCGGTGCCTCGCGGCCGCCCGCGCCCGACGCGGAGAGGCCGGCAGGGAGAGCCTGCGGCACAGTGCGCGGCGCAGGCGCGCCCCTGCGCTGGCCCGGCACCGCGGAGCTCGACGGGGCCCGGCGCCGGCCGGCACCAAAACGACACGAAGATCGGGGCCACATCGGATCGGGATGACTCGAAATCTCGGAGAGTCGGCGGGTCTGGAGGACGTCTTGGGCGCCGCGGGGCCGCTCTCATAGAGCGCTCCGGAACGCTCTGAGAGCGCTCCGGAACGCTCTGGGAGCGATGTGTCCCGATCCTATAGCCCTGTTTTGGGCACCCTCGCGACTCCCGCGCACACGCCCGAGGCACGGGCCAGCGGCCGCGCGGTGCGCACGCCGGGCCGGGCCTGTCCAGGACCGGGAGGATGCAGAGGGCGAAGCTCGCCAGCCGGCCTGCGCGGATGAGGCCCTTCGGCTCCATAGTCAGGTCGGGCATGTCCCCCCTATAGGAGGATTCATCGGACTCAGGACGAAAGCTACAAGATGACCCAAACATATTCGAAATAGACCCAAAAATAATCTGAAAATCGTCCCCGTATTTTTTGACTTTTTCTTGCACGCTCCTCCTATAGGGGGACAGGCCCGACTGAACTCAACAGCACAAAAGCCTGGCGGCAGCTGCTGGCGGAGGAGGAGCGCACGGGGGCCGACTCGCCGCCCACGGCGACAGCATCGCTGCTCTGGAGATCCCACGCAGCCGACGAGCTCGCCGGTCGGAACACATGCCTGAACGACATCTTCCTTGGAGCCTGCCGGCAGGCCCTGCAACTTGCCATCGCTCGGACGTCCATTCCCTGTGTGTTTTCCCCACATGCCTAGTGGGGTTCTGGTTTTCTTCCCTGCTGCGTCGCACCCGCGTCTCACCTCACACCTCCCCTCCTCCTCACAGCACTGCTCAGCACAGCTCAGCTCAGCTCAGCTCAGCACGGCACAGCTTAGCGCAACACAGCGCAGCACAGCACAGCTCACCGCAGCACAGCACAGCACAGCACAGCACACAGCACAGCACAGCACAGCACAGCTCAGCTCAGCTCAGCTCAGCACAGCGCAGCTCAGCTCAGCTCAGCTCAGCACAGCACAGCACAGCACAGCTCACCGCAGCACAGCACAGCACAGCACATCACACAACACAACACAGCACAGCACAGGCGTGGCACGCATAGCATTTCCTCGACACCACAAGGGGGGAGCTGTGGGTGGGGACGCTATCCGCTTCGGGCTCGCAAAGCGTGGCAGGCGTGGCACTTCCTCGACACCACAGGGGGGAGCTGTGGGTGGGGACGCTATCCGTTTTGGGCTCGCAAAGCGTGGCAGGCGTGGCATTTCCTCGACACTACAGGGGGGGAGCTGTGGGTGGGGACGCTATCCGTTTCGGGCTCGCAAAGCGTGGCAGGCGTGGCACTTCCTCGACACCACAGGGGGGGAGCTGTGGGTGGGGACGCTATCCGTTTCGGGCTCGCAAAGCGTGGCAGGCGTGGCACTTCCTCGACACCACAGGGGGGGAGCTGTGGGTGGGGACGCTATCCGTTTCGGGCTCGCAAAGCGTGGCAGGCGTGGCACTTCCTCGACACCACAGGGGGGGAGCTGTGGGTGGGGACGCTATCCGTTTCGGGCTCGCAAAGCGTGGCAGGCGTGGCACTTCCTCGACACCACAGGGGGGAGCTGTGGGTGGGGACGCTATCCGTTTCGGGCTCGCAAAGCGTGGCAGGCGTGGCACTTCCTCGACACCACAGGGGGGGAGCTGTGGGTGGGGACGCTATCCGTTTCGGGCTCGCAAAGCGTGGCAGGCGTGGCACTTCCTCGACACCACGCATTTCGGGCTCGCAAACAGGCGTGGCACTTCCTCGACACCACAGGGGGGAGCTGTGGGTGGGGACGCTATCCGTTTCGGGCTCGCAAAGCGTGGCAGGCGTGGGACACCACAGGCCGCTACTCGCAAAGCGTGGCAGGCGTGGCACTCGACACCACAGGGGGGAGCTGTGGGTGGGGGCGCTATCCGTTTCGGGCTCGCAAAGCGTGGCAGGCGTGGCTCGGGGGGGGGGCTGTGGGTGGGACGCTATCCGTTTCGGGCTCGCAAAGCGTGGCAGGCGTGGCACTTCCTCGACACCACAGGGGGGGAGCTGTGGGTGGGGACGCTATCCGTTTCGGGCTCGCAAAGCGTGGCAGGCGTGGCACTTCCTCGACACCACAGGGGGTGCGCTGGGGGTGGTCTCCCTATCCGTTGCGGGCTCGCAAAGCGTGGCAGGCGTGGCACTTCCTCGACACCACAGGGGGCGCGTTGGGGGTGGTCTCCCTATCCGTTGCGGGCTCGCACAGCGTGGCAGGCGTGGCACTTCCTCGGCACCACAAGGGGTGCGCTGGGGGTGGTCACCCTATCCGTGACGGGCTCGCAAAGCGTGGCAGGCGTGGCACTTCCTCGGCACCACAGGGATTGCGCTGGGGGTGGTCTCCCTATCCGTGACGGGCTCGCAAAGCGTGGCAGGCGTGGCACTTCCTCGACACCACAGGGGGTGCGCTGGGGATGGTCTCCTTATCCGCTGCGAGCTCGCAAAGCGTGGCAGGCGTGGCACTTCCCCGACACCACAGGGGATGCGCTGGGGTTGGTCTCCCTATCCTTGACGGGCTCGCAAAGCGTGGCAGGCGTTGCACTTCATCGACACCACAGGGGGTGCGCTGGGGGTGGTATCTTTATCCGTTGCGGGCTCGCAAAGCGTGGCAGGCGTGGCACTTCCTCAGGCGTGGCACAACACCACAGGGGGGGCGCTGGGGGTGGTCTCCCTATCCGTTGCGGGCTCGCAAAGCGTGGCAGGCGTGGCACTTCCTCGACACCACAGGGAGTGCGCTGGGGGTGGTATCCTTATCCGTTGCGGGCTCGCAAAGCGTGGCAGGCGTGGCACTTCCTCGACACGACAGGGGGTGCGCTGGGGGTGGTCTCCCTATCCGTTGCGGGCTCGCAAAGCGTGGCAAGCAATATGGTGTTGGATGACACATAGGGAAACATTCGCGACGAGGGCTCAGAACGCAGGATTGCGCATATATTAAAAACATAAGCAAGCACATCATATTTAAATTAAGTATGTGGGGTTCTTCGGTAGCGTAATTTTCGGCTCCGTGCGTGGTTTTTCGCAGGATATAATCCCCGCCGAGAAAAAGTGCACAAGTCTCCGAGCGATACCAAGGCAAAGGGCCCACGCCGGCGCAAACGAGGCTTTGCAGAGGGAAGCGGAGACCAGCCGGAAGGCCACCAGGAACAAGAGCGGCCCTGCAGAATTCACCGTCGGCAACGAGGGCGGCGGCATGGTATGCCCGGCACGTCTTGCAGTCAGCAGAAGCGGCGACGCCGGCTGGCACGGGCCCACACTCTCTTGAAGCACACCAGTGAGGGAAGGGAGGAGGACGACGAGGACAAGAAGGAGGACCGCCTCGGCGCGAGCCGCCCAGCGTCCGGACACGAAGCTGCAGCCGACATGCGGCCACATAGCACCAGCGACGACGGCGCCAGCAGCCGACTACGAGCGCCAGCCAGGACAGCGGCCACCCAGCTGCAGCCACCCCAGCAGCCGACGACGACAGCAGCGACTACAGTACGAGCACCAGCGACGACGGCACACAGCGGACGACAGCACCAGTTGCGACAGCAGCCGACTACGAGTACCAGCTACGACAGCAGTCATCAGCAGCAGCACGACAGCACCACCGTCGAGGCTGAAGGACACGCTCAAACAGAGCGTAATCCGGCGCCTGGACCCCCACTGCCTCCGAGAACCGGGGTCGGCTCGCAGATGCCACCCGCAGAACCATCGAGGCCGCGACGAGGGATGGTGCTGCTGACGAAGTCGAGGGAAGGAAACTCAAGATTGCCCCGTGGCGGCAACGAATGCAGCAGGGCGTAATCAGCTCGAAAGGCAGGGTGGGTGATCTCTTCTTCTTCTTCTTCGTCTTCTTCTTTTCTTTTTCTTCTTCTTCTTTCTAAATTTTTCTGCGCCGTCACGAGGGGGCCCACCGTCCACGAGCGGTGCCGCGCTCGGCGCCAATCCCGCTTTGGGGGGCGCGCGCGCCCCACCCCGCGCTTTGAGACAGGATTTGCTGTGCTATTCGAGCGTGGGCTGACGCCTGGCCTCGGCTTCCAGCAGGAAGCACAACGGCAAGGAGGGAGGGAGGAAGGGGGCGAGGGGCGGGGGAGGGGGGGGGGAAAGCAGCTTCACGACAGTAGCTGGCAAGCGAGGCAACTTAAAAGTGTGCCTCGGGACCAGGCCGCGCGGCGGGAAGCCCATCATGCTCGCGGCCCCCCTCGCACTGCACTCCTCTCGTCCTTCCCCTCCCCTGCCATCAACGTGGCATCTCATGGGATGCACGCCAGCATGCCGCCTCGGGCGAGACGGCCGACTATAGACGGCGCTGCCCCCCAGCTCACAGGGTGTCTGAGTCCGGCGCGATGATGGTGAACGGTGTTCCTATCGAGGACGGACAGAACCCTCTTTCGCAAAACGTGGTTCAGTGAAAAAAATGGCCTCGGGCTCAGACCTGGCGGGCCCAGGCCTGGAAAATGACGACGGCCGCGGCGCCCTCTCGAGAACCGAGAACGGACAATTCCCAGATCGACGTGTCGGGGTGGGGGCTCTGTCCACCCCCTCGGCAGCTTGGCGAGGGCTGGCAGATCCGTGGCTGCTGAAGCGGTCTTCCCGGAAGAAAAAACACATCTCCGGAATAGAGCACAACGCACAAAAACGTCAACGGGCCGCTTCCCGGAAAGAAAGCACAGCGGATGCCCGGAGCTCCGTTCTGGCAGCCACGGGTCTGCCAGCCTTCGCCTGGCTTGTTGACCCCCGATCCTGAGGGGCAACGATAGGGGGGGGACTGACATAGGGGGGGTTGCATCGACCTGGAATCGGCGATACAACGCCGATAGATCGGCGATAGGCCTCTGATAGTGAGTGCGCACCTTCCTGGGCAGGCTGGGGCTATCGGGCCCCTGTCGGCGATCCATGGGCGATTGGGGGCCGATGCATCCCCCCCTTTGCCTATCCCCCCCTATCGTTGCCCCCGAGAACCTATCGTCATCACTGGGGCGAATACGGTGAACATCAGCACCCCACACAGCGTGACGTTGAAGATCGCGTTGACGATGTAGCCTCCGGGGCCCCACTGCGCGTGTGGCCCGCCCACGAACTCCTCGTCCTGGGCTTGGGGATGCCAGGACAATGGAAGGAGCCCAGGGACACACAAATGAATACACACAAATAAAACGAATCCCCATATTTTCCTATATGTTCTGGGTTTCTGTCTTCCCCCCCACTTCCCATATTTTCCCATATGTTTTGGGGGAATCGGGGATTACTTGTGTCTGTGTGTTTTTCCCTCCTGAACAATGGACACCCTAACAATCCGATCATTGCATTAGACATGTGTTTAAAGTGTTCGAGTAATGTTTGCCAATGTTCCAGACATGTGTTTTGTTACATGTCTGAGGCCTGCTCAAAACCTTGTTCAGACATCTGGAAACGATCTGGCGACATGCTTCCTCTCCACTGACCGCTGTCCACAATCCTGGGCCATGATCTCCTCGATATCCTTCCCGCAGTCTTCGTCGTGGGGCGGCGCTTCGCCTCTGCCGCAGGCCCGGCAGCAGGTGTCGAAGCCCTTGGCGCTGCGCCGGCCACAGCGCTTCACGCAAGGAGCGTAGTCGGGATCCTCATCGATCCGGCGTGCCGCCTCCCCGCGCGCGGCGGCCCCCGCGGCGGCTTCCGTGTCCACGGCTACCACCTCGTCGGGCTCGGAATAAACGTCGCTGATCTCGCCATCGTGCCTGTCCGCGTCCTCTGGGCGCCAGTCCTTCTTCACCATCTCGCTGTAGATCCAGCTCAGCCGTACGCCATCCCAGTCGTCTTCGTAGACGAATCCGAGCATGCCGCCGATGTCGTCCAGGTTGTACAGGAAGAGCAGCCCGAGGGAGTCGAACAGCAGATCCTTGAAAGAGGTGCTTGCGCCAACGATGGCATACGAAGCAGTCGTGCTGAACAACACGGCCCAGCAGTTGACGATCGCACCCGCGTAGAGGAACGCCTTGCCGCCGCTGTTGAACTCGGGGTTGTGGTTCTTGAGGTACTTGAAGGTGCTGTAGATCTGGAACCAGGTCTTCTTCTCCTGCAGGACGACGAAGAGACCGTTGCAGGCGAATATGTAGAGCAGAAGAATGCCGAGGATCTTCTTCACGGGTCTGACGTGCCAATCCGCGAGCGCGTTGTGGTGATTCCACCTGCGCCACCTGTACACGGCGTTGGTATCTCTGTCCTCCAACGCGTCCCACGCCCAGAGGTTGCTCATCAGCACGGCGGGTGGTCCGACCACCTGGACGATCGCCACGACGACGCAGCCGATGAATCGGGCGCGCACCTTGATGCCATCGAGAGAGAGCGGTGCCGTTCTTTTCCCGTCCTGCTTTATGCTCTCGAGGCTTCCGAAAGCGCCTATGCTGAACATGTTGCCCGGGATCGCGTCGACGTGGCCGAGCCAAGCCTCCTCGATGAGCAGCTCAGCGCTTTCCATGACCCGCATCCCGTCTGTGGCCTGGAGGATGCACTTCTTGGCGTAGTCCTGCCCCCGGTGGAGGCGCCTGTTCTCCTCCACGGAGCGGTGCGCCGCGGCCTTCTCGAGGATGCGCCTCAGCCGCCTCTCCTCTGCGGACTCCCGGGTTCTGCCTTGGCGGAAGACCCCCGACGTGCCGTGCGTCGCCTCCACTTGGCGGCGCCGCCTCTGGACAAGTGCGCTCCACTGCTCGCAAAGTAGAACGACTCGCAAATTGCCCAGATCCGCCGCGGGGGACCTACGCTCCACCACACAAAGAGGATGACAGCTCTTCTTCGGACGCTTGCGAGTAGGCACTTTGCGAGTAGTGGATGTGGACGCCCGAAGTGGGTACGGAAAAATGGGTACAGTGCCCAACAAGAAATGCTGCCCCAAACCAACAGCGGCCGCTGTTGGGCAAGCGGCCTCCTGTCTCGCATGGACTCGGGCCGCGGCGGCGCGGACAGCGAGCCCTCTTCAAAAGGAACAGGAACTGCTGCTGGGCATCGTACCCGTCCTTCCCGCGCCCGTTCCGTTCGTGCCGAGTGGAACGGCTAGACGCAAGAGTGACCCTGGGTAAGAGCGACCTTTGGTGCGCGGCTTGTGGGGGGCCGCAGGGGGACCAAACCCGGGCGCGCAAGCAGCTGCTGCTGCTGCTGCTGCTTCGCTTTCAGCCATCTGGGAACCCATATGTGCCCGCACCAAAGGTCAATCCTGCGAAAGGTCACTCTTACGTCAGTGGAACGCGCTCGGTGATCCTCACCTGGGGTGCGTTCTGGGGTGCGTCCACGGACCTCTCCCGGGGTGCGTTCTGACCAGGACTTCGAGACAAATCCAGCAGTGGCGACGAGGGCCGCCCAGGAGGCCCAAAAAGGGGGAAAACGAGGTAGGGGTACCCTGACTCCGGATCCGCCCTACTTTGGGGAAATTCGTAAATAGGGCTTGGAATTTCCGCCTTATTTTTCAAGCCCCGCTGATGCCAATTTCCGCCCTACTTTTCTGTTGTTGTTTGCGCCCTACTTCTGTGGGTTTTCGCCCTATTTTATGTTGGGTGCAGAAATTTCCGCCCTACTTTTTCGGCTTCTTATAGGTGGATTTCCGACGCAGTTTTTAAATTAGAAAAAAAGCCAGAGTAGGGCGGATCTGGAGTCAGGGTAGAGGTATGGGTACCTTTTCCTCCTCTGGCGCTCGGCGATCCTCACCGGCTCGCCGGACTCGCAGTCGCCGCAGCAGGAGCTCTGCTCGCCGCCGTCCTCGGCGTCGCCGCCCGCGGGGGCCCCGCGCCACGGCGCCCCCCGCGGGAGCATGGCGGCCGGCGGCTGCGCGGCCCTGCGCGGAGCGGCCCCTCGGGCCAGCCTTTAGGTCGGGCGTGTCCTCCTGCAGACAGGGGGATGTCGTCACGTGATGCGAGGTTCCCCCTCCCCGCCGAATCCCCCTCCTCGCGCTCCTCTTTACATCCTCCTCCCTCCTCCTCCTCCTCCTTCTCCTCCTCCTCCTCCTCCTCCTTCGATTCGCATCACGTGACAGATCCAAGTCGCCGATCCTACTGGCGGATGTTGGAGGAAAGATAAGGAAAAATCAACAGATCCTCAAACATAGCCCCAAAAAATGGTAGAACAAAAGTGTCCCCCGCTATGTTTGGACTGTTTTTGAATGCTCCTCCTGCAGAGGGACGGGCCCGCCTTCGCCCTCGGGCCACCCTTGAGCCAAAATGGATACGGAAGGCAGGGTGGGTGAAATTCGAGACTGGCATCCCCACGCCAACCATCATCGGCACCACCGAGAATGACGAGACGACCACGAAGCTGGCCGAGTCCAGAGAAGAAGCATGCCGGTAGATCTCTTCGACCACTGGAGGGCAGTCTGGCAGAGTCACCAGCCATCCCTCGGCTCAGGTTGCTGGGGGCTTGCGTTCGCACGACTGCGCCACTTGAAAACGCAGACTCGCGAGACTGGGGAGGAGTGGTCCTGCCCCTCCTCTCCACTCGCGCAAACCCTGCGAGACACCCTCCTCCTCCTCCTCCTCCTCCTCCTCCTCCTCCTCCTCCTCCTCCTCCTCCTCCCGTTACTTCCCTTCTCTTCTCATCCTCCTTCCCCATCCTCCTCCTCCCTCTCCTCCTCCCTCTCCTCCTCCCTCTCATCTTCCTCCTTCTCCTGCTCCTCCTCCTTCTCCCCTTCCTCTTCCGACAACACCTAGAATCCCACAAAACCCCCGCCCCCGCCCAAGCATTATGAAACCCTCCTCCCTCTCCTGCTTCTCCTCAATCCATGCTCCTCCCCTCCCTCGCACGCCTCATCCTCCTCCGCCTCGCGCCGAAAGAACTCATGATAAGCTTCTGGACACCCCAAAGAAGCTCCCAGGTCTTCCTCTCTCCCCTAAGCCCTCTCTCAGCCTCTCTTCTTGTCGCTCCACCACCTGCTCCTTTCCCTCCTTCTCATGCTCCTGCTACTGCTGCTGCTTTTCTTCCCCCTCATGTACTAGAACCCTTGCCTTTTTTGCTCCTTCAAGACGCCATTCATCCCCCTCAGCTCCCTCCTCCTGTTCTCATTCCTGAGCCCGTTCCTCCTCCAGCCCCAGCAACCTCACCCCGAACCACCGCTGGGGAAACCAAAAGGTACCGATACCGCTACCCCGGGGACCCCTCCCGGGGTGCGTTCCGACCAGGATGTCGAGGCGAATCCAGCGGTGGCGACGAGGGCCTCCCAGGAGGCCCCGAAACAGGGGGCAACGGGCGAGGAGGGTAGCGGCATGGGCACCTTTCCCTCCTCCGAACCGTGGGCCACCTCGCCCGATCTCGCCCGGCAGGCTCCAGAAACGTGTGCGCCAGCGACACCAGGAGCCAGATCGCCGCCCAGGCCCGCGCCCGCTTGCGCGTGACGGGGTCGGTGAAGACCGGGAGTCCGCACGGCCCGCGCCGCGGCCTGCCCTGGCCCGCGCCCAGCACCTGGCCATCCACTTCGCCGCTCCGCCCTTGCCCATCGTCGGTCTTGCCCTGAAGAGGAGGAGGAGGGAGAGGAGGAGGGAGAGGAGGAGGGGGAGGAGGAGGAGGAGGAGGAGGAGGAGGAGGATAATAATTGGCTCTTGCTTTGCCTCGTCCCCCACCTCTCCTGGTCATTGTCCCGCGGGCCCGTCACGGCCGACAGGTCGGGAGAACTTGTACCCAGCGTGTGTCGCGGCAGCGGCTCAAGGCGACACGCCACGCCCCGGGAACGGATGGCGTGTCGTTTTCCGCTCCGCGGGGCGGGAGGGTGGGAGAGGTTCGTCACGTTGACGCCTTGGGGGCCGGAAAGTGGCTGGTGCGTCGCGCCAAAGCGTGGTGGGCCAGGAACAGCAGAGCGACACGCTGAGCAGACGTTCCTGGCCGCACTCTTTCGCCGCCTCCCCATCCCGCTCCTCGGACGAGCATAATGTCATGACACGATTGAAGCAGGTTGCGATTTTGGAATTCTGGCGTTTCTTGCGGCCCTCGACCATTCGCGCTCGGCCATCCGCTTCTGACCGCGCAGGACACACATATGTGTGTGTATATAAATATACACACGATTGCATTGGCGCTTCGCGCCATGCACCTTGGTCCTTGAAGTTTGGCATGCAGGCTGAATGGCAGGAAGGTTAACCAGACAATAAAGCGATAACTCCTTGTTGAGTTGTCTGGCCTCGCCGTTATAATATAACGTTATGCGTTATCCTTCCTCCATGTTTAGGTCTCCTCATTCCCGCCCTCCTCTGCGAATTCTTCCCCATCCTCCTCTGCTCTTTTTGCGGAGGCTCCTTCTTGGAGAACCTCTGGGGGCCTCACGGAAGTTGTTCAGGCTTTCTGAATGCCTTCTGGAGGCCTCCTGGGCGTCTTCAGGGGGCCTCTGGGGGCTTCTTCGGGCCACCCTGCCTCCAACCGCGGTCTCCCTGAGCGACCGGGTCACGATTTGGAATGATTCGGAAGGTGTCTTGGGGCCATCTTGGGCCGTCATGGGGCTCCCTTAGGCCATCTTGGAGCCCTGTTGTGCCGTCTTGGGGCTCTCTTGGACTGCCTGGAAGCTCTCTCGGATGGCCGAACCTCCCAGGCGGTCTCGGGCGCCCAGAAGACCGAAGAACAGGGCATCCCCCAACTCATGCAAAAACATTGGACAATCAATGTTTTTGTGTGTCTTGGAAGCCTCCTGGGGGTCTTCTTTGGGTCGTCTTCTGGCCTCCGGTGGGTGTCTGGGGTCTCTCGGGGCGCTCGGGGGGGCGTTTGGACGCCCGCCTGACCGATTTGGGCCCGTTGCCCAGGCCCAGGAAGGGCTTCCAGGAGCTCTCAAACGCCTGGGGGGTCTCCTGCAGGAGCGTCCAGAGAGCTCCCGGGCCACGGATCTGGGGGGTCCAGAGGGCCCCGAAGCCTGGGATTCGAGGGGGTCCGATTTGGGGGGGGGATCCCGGGTACTAAAAGCACGTGCATAGGAGTAGACACAACATTTATATATATATATATATATATATATATACATCGCACAGACTTGCTTACGTAGTCTTACGTACATGCTTGTTTAAGACTTGCTCACTTACTTACCTACTTACTTAATTAGGTACTTATCTACTTACTTACTTACTTACTAGCCTGCTTGCTTAAATAAATGCCAGAACCACGCGCGCGCTTCGCTCGATTCAGTTCTAACACATCCCCCAGCCCTCGACAAGCATACAAATGCATATACGTCCCCTGCCGCCGCTCCCCCGCCCTTCGGAGCCTCTGGGGGCCTGTTCGGGGTCTCCCAGGCCCGAGGCCCGACTGGAGCGCCTCTTGGGACCCTTTTGGGGCATCTTGGGGGCCTCGGGGGACTGTTTGAACATGTTTGAACTGCATGAACACTCGCCGAGGTGGAAAACTTGATGTTTCAGTTTCCGTTTCCCCTCTGGGGGTCCTCTGGGGCCGTTATTCGGGCCCGCTTGTGCCATCTGGGAGACCTCTTGGGCCAGCACGGGGTCTCCTAAGGAACCCAGCGCCTTCTTGGGGGCCTCCTTGGGGGGCTCGTGGGGGGCGTCTGGGAATCCTCTTGGGGTATCCCGGAGGCGTTTCAGGCCGTCTGGAAGCCTTCGTGAAGCGCCACGGGATCGTCGTGGGCCATCTGGAGGCGATCGCGGGCCCGGATCCACCATGCGCTGTCGAGCCCAGGGCCCCAACATGCATGCATGCATACATACATATACACATGCATGCATGCATGCATGCATACACACATACATACATGCAAACATACATACATAAAGGCCGACAGACAGACAGGCAGACAGACAGACAGACATTCACACGCATACATACACACATACGTGCTCCCGTACATACAATACATGCATGCGTGCATGCATGCATGCATGCATACACACATACATACATACATATATATATATATACATACATACATACATACATACATACATACATACATGCGCACACATACACACACGTACGCACATACGTAAATACATGCATACAGGCCCGCATACATACATACACACATGCACGCACACATTCCTACGCACATTTACGTACATGCATACATATATCCATACATGCATGCATGCATGTATATGTACATTCATACACACATACATACGTACATACGTATATATACATACACACATACATGCCAACACACCTACAGACACATCAACATACATACACGCATGTACATATTTGTATGTATATACACATACACACATATATAAATGTATATACATATATATATATGGATGTGAACATGTGTACACACGTACATACATATCTACGATCATGCATGCATATCTACATAAACACATACGCACACACGTACGTACATACATACGTGCACGGACCCTTTCCATCCACACAACCGTACACACATGCATGCATACATGCATTTACACACATATATATATATATATATATGCACATGTAACATCGGTATTTTTCTTGCCCCCGAGAGCGATGAAAACTGCAGGCTTCTCCACTGACGGGAAGGAGACCCCGCCAACCAGAAACTGCTGTGCATCCGCCCTTGGCTGCCGAGCCAACCAAAAGACACGTCACGAAGCTCGGCCCCTAATAGCAAGCCTGTCCCGGCCGCGTGCAGGCTCCCGTGAGGCCGAACATGTGAAGTGCAAACGGAATGCGCCACCCCCCTGTAATGAGGCGCAGGGTCGGTATGTTTATTCAGAGCGACATTGAACAGGGACAGCGCGAACGCGTGGACAGCAACAGCAACAGCAGGGAGAGGGAAGCAGGCAGCAGGGAGGAAAGGGGAGAAGCAAAGAGCAGCAGGGAGAGAGGCAGGAAAGCGAGCGAGAGAGGAGGCAGCAGAGCAGGAGGGAGGAGGACCCCAGCAAGCACCAAGCAGCAGCAGCAGCAGCAGCAGCAGCAGAAGAAGGGGAACGGGAGGAAGAGGAACTGCCGGCCAAGTGAAACACTGGAGTGGTATTGAGACGCGCGGGTCGCCTGCCCCGCAGGAGAACGCGGCCGCATCCAAAGGTGACCCAAGCCACTAAAACTAGCGGAGCCCAGAAGACGTCCGAAACTAGCGGAGCCCAGAGGACGAAGCAGGAAAGGAGGAAGGCGAAGGAAGAAAGGGGCGAATCAGAGGACACTAAAATAATATCATAGTCAACTTCTAATGCGGCTCCAGCCGGCGGGCGCTGGAGGCTCGCTGAGTAACAGCGGCCCGCCCGGTTGGAGTGCCCGGCACATGCACGCGT